TACGCACCTGATGTCATACGATCAGTTTCATGATATTCAGTATGACATCCAACTCAACTTACTACTTACCCTGCATATTGTGTGTCACATCATTAGTTATGACATCCATACACACTCTAATGTTTTGCCATAAAATGCAGTCAATCAGAAGCACTTACGTTTATAATTATAAATGATTGAATTATATAATATGATGATCAAATTGTACACATACGGTTCGACAGATTACATTCAATCCCAACAGAAGAGAAGGAATTGAGATAAATGAGCATCAAATGTGATTTCTCGACAATTTAATGCATATCCAACTCGTATCCTGCACTTTTAACTTTTCTCTGGCTTCTATCTGCTTTGAGGATTTTAGGAAAATGAAAAACTGCCTTTTTGATTGTGTTTCTGTCCCTCTTATAGTGTATGGTTGCAACCAACTTTGCTTAGCAAAATATGGTTCCCTAACTGAAGTATCTTTCCTTCACCCTTACTAAACCATAATCTCCCTAATTAGTGACTTCCAAAATTGCCCTCACTTATTATTTTATTCACCAAAATGTCCTTCTCATCTCTAATTTATTTTAATAAAAAATATCATTAATAATATTCTCCTTTTCTCTCTACTATTTTTCCTCTTCTATTTTATCCCAATAAATTAAATAAAATAGCTATGTTCTAATTATTTTAATAATAATTTTCATTATTCTAATATTATTAATTATATTATTTAATTAGATAATTTGAACAATACACTACCAACCAAACATCATCCAATGCACATAGAAATTGATTTAAATAAATAAATGCGCACAATTTCAATTAAATAAATAAATTAGAAAAGTGGGGTGTTACCGAATGGAAGATCAAAATTGTTATATCTTGGAACTCAAGGCAAGTTGAAAAGATTATTCAAAGTTGTATTCATAATATGTATTTGTTCACCAAGTGTGTGGTGACATTGTATATAGGAAAATAGGTTGTATTTTCTACAGGTGTTCATAAATAGGAAGTGGTGTTCTTTCTGTTTTTTGGAATACAATGCTTTGAATTGGTTTGATTCAAAGTCCACCATAAGTTGGTGTTTATGTTAGAAGATTATAAAAGAGGTCTTGGTTTAAGACTTGTGCACAGATCTAACATGGTAAAATGTCTCATGGGATGTGAGGGGACTGAAGTACTCTTGTTTAAAAAAATGAATTAAGATATATCTTTTGTCAATTTCTTTACTACATTTTATTTTTACTACTTTATTATTCATCTATTCATCATAATTTTTCGAAAAAATAAAAAGAATCATAACATCTCTAAAATGATTGAAAAGTCTAACAGAATAATAACCCTATGATATCAGGGAAACAACAAATTTGGTGTGGCGACTTCTTCTATGTTAATCTAAGGGCAGTTGTGTGTGTGAGAGAGACTCAATGAATGGAATGAATGGTTAGATATAATGTTCTAAAAATCATATTGGATCGGTCGGTCGAACCGAGAATTGAAAAAGTCATCGATTTGGTCTGATTGTTGGATTGAATAAACTATTGAGCTAGAGGGAATCGACTAGAACCAGTAAGAACTAACAAACCGACAGTATTAGAAAAACCAATGGATGAAATACTTGTTTTTTTTTCATCGTCGATGTCGTCATAATAATTCTTTTGAACAAATAAAATTAAAATATAAGTAAATTTTCTTTAAAACTTATTTGAAACAAGTTTTCCTCCTTAAAATTAAATTTATTAAACACCACGACTATTTTGTTATTAATTTATGTTGCAAATAGACTTTGTTAACTATGTTTAAAATTTGAATTAAAAGAATGAACTTGTGAAATTGTGATATTTTTAAATTTTTAAATTTTGTAGATGTTGTAATTTTTTTAAAGGTAGTCATCCGATTTAATCGGTTTAATAAATATATAGTTTTGTTATATAGATTACTTTATTCAATCAAATTATCCGATTTAATTAAATTTAATCATGCAATCCGACCAATGAACGAGTCCCTCAGCACTCTTACCGAAGGGTCTATTTTTAAAACATTGGTTGGATATTTAGCAGTAGGAAACAAGCATACCACACTTTTTGATAGAGGTTGGAAGAAAAGTAACGAATAGTATATTCAATAATGAGAGAATTATGGTTAAACTCTTACATGAAATATTACAAGACTTGTATAGTTAATAAAACAACTAACTAACCTATCTGACTAAATAACTAATTAATTAGACTAAGAACAACTAACTAATCTGCTATATCTCTAATACATTATTTAGGAAAGAACTCTCCCTAAATAAACAAAAAGTGAGATGTACAGTACACATACGTAAGGTGCAAAGTGCTAGAAGAGACAAGGGAAATCCAATAAATATTTCACTTACTCACTTAGCATACTGTTGTCCTGACACCAGCACATTGACAAACTCTTCAGTTTTCTTAATTAGTAGGAACCTTTTTGAAACTGGTTTCTTCTGCAACTAATGTGCTCGCACAAGATGCCACAATTAGACGACTAGGGGCGGATCACAATGAAGACGGTCCAATAAATATGAGTGTCCTTAAACTACATGAGCAGCTAATTGTGCCAAGGACATAACAGGCATCACTAGTTCCACCTTTAAGCCCGGAAGGGAATCTAGCAAGGGCTGTTCAAAACAATCACTAGTTCCAAGTTTGGGATTGGAAGCAGTAGACTAACATCATAGCGGAATTAATCGAATGAGAAGAAGACAAGCAAAAAAAATGTTATACTAAAAGGAAGCTCAAACTAATACTTCGAGATAAAAGCTCCTCGAGAGAATTTTAGTAGCTTTTTTCAACTTTTTCAGCTGCCAACATTTGAACAAATGAACGAAGGGAAACAACTACCGAGATAGAACTTATTCTTCAGAAAACCTTTACCTTACAAAACAAGATACCGCAGAAACACCAAAGAAAAACACAATAGAAAAAGCATCGTAAGAAATCAAGCCTTGTGATCTATCAAGAGGACAAAACATGAACAAGACAAAACAAAACATATAAATGCATTCAGAGAATCATGAACAAACATGGTTATTGCAGCCCTGCACATGGTAAGTAAAAATTTAATGAACATCATATTGGCGCGCTTGCGTGTGAGAGAGAGAGACTTGACCAAAACTTGAAATTGAATGAGTAATATATCCTCCCTGATTCAGATGAGATAAATTAATCACACATGGATAAAAACAAAGGGACAAGGTTGTTATAAGACTAATATAGATAATATTATATGAATTCACAAAAGGAATAAGTTCAGCATAAATTTGTGCAACAAGAGTAACAAAATACATGTAGCACCTACATTGTACAACAATAATAATAAATCAGGCACCTTAAAGACTAATGACCCTTAACCTTTTCATCTCCAACAACATTTAGAATTGGTAAGCTACTAAGGAACTCATCAAGCCCTTCAAAAAACCCAATCCCTTCAATATTATCCTCAGGATTTCCAGTCCCATTCACATTCCGTTCTTTTGCTCCAGTAGCAGCAGCAGCTTCTTCCACCTCATTGCTAAACTCCACATTCAGATCCAATTTACCTAAATTGGCTGCACCCCTCCTCCTCGAACCACCCAAGGCAGCTTTCTTACTAGCTTCAACGGCAGGCGCAGAAGCAGGGTCAGCCGCCTCACCACCATCCACATCGTCACCACCACCACCATCGCCAGCATTACCATTCTGAACCCCCCTCTTGGGCCTCCCAGTATCAACAGGTCCCCTTCCAGCACCATCACCATCATCACCACCACCACCTCCAATGGTCCTTTTTTTACTCCTACTCCTCGTCATAACCACATTCTCTGTCCCTTCGCTATCATCCCCTGTCATAACCACATTCTCTGACCCTTCGCTATCATCCCCTCTCCACCAATCATCATCATCATCATCGGTATCATCTTCACTTACATCAGAAAGCACCGCGAAAGCAGCAGATGTATCATGATCATGATAAACAAAGGGCCCTCTTTGTAAACCCCTCTTGGAAGAACTACCTTTCATAGAGCAAGGAAACAAAGTAGAAATAGGGTTCCATTCCGAAGATGACCCACTAATATCCCTAAAATTTCCACTAAACCCTAAAGGAATATACCCAAAGCTACAGAACAAACTACCATCTTCACTCAACTCCGGCGGTGACCGTACCACTACCGCATGAAACCCCTTCCTACAATTCTGACACCGGAGTGTACACTCCTGATAAACATTAGGATACTCAAACATTGCATAACAGTAAGGACACGCAGTCCAGAAGCTTCCAGCTTCTGTCTCAGCGGGCTTAGGCTCCGTCGGCTTGTCGACATTGCTCTGACTCGTCCTAGTCCGCTCGTCGACATTGCGCCGACTCTGCCTCGGCCCATTGTTATGTCCCTCGGCAACTACGTTAGCTTCATTGGAAGACCTGAGGTTGTTCCTCAGTTGAAGGCCATGATTCTGATTGACCTGAGCTGGAGGAGGAGGTTGAATAGGTTGTGGTTGCGGCTTCGGCTGTGGTGGTGGCGGCGGTTGAATATGTTGCGGTGGAGGCTGTGGCGGTTGAATATGTTGCGATGGTGGTGGTGGTTGCGGCGCTGGTGGTTGAGTAAGAAAATGAAGCTGTTCATCGTATAAAGCTTTCTTATGCGGATTTGAGAAAATGGACCAAGCATCATGAACAAGAGAAAAAGCATGAGCAGCAAAAGCGAAGGGATTCCGGTGAGGGTCGAGCAGAACGGCGAGACGTCGGTACTGAACGGCTATGTACTCAATGTTCTGAGTGTAACGAAGAATTTGAAGAATGGCGTAGTAATCAAGATGTTCTTTGATCTGAACTTCACCGGCTAAGAGAGTATCAATAACCGCTAAGAGAAGTTCGGTAGCTTCGAATCTCGGGTCGGATTCACGTGCCCGGATAGCGAATGAGCGTGCGCCGTGTAAGTCACGCGCGCTGAGAAGCTTGTTGGCTGTGTAGAGCCACCGTTCCGCTTCTCCTCTATTGGTTCCATCCATTTTTCAGTTTTGTTTAAAGATGAAAGAAAATGGTTTGTGAGTGTGGATGCTAAATCTGAGTTGGTGGAGTTAATGGAAATGGGAGACAGAAGAGGAGAGAGTTGTGTGGACGATAATAGACATGAATTGACTATATGCAAGGGCTGTGGGGGAGGGTAGTTTGGTCATTGAGATGCAAGTTTACAAACGAGTATCACATGGAGTATGATGACATGCTATTATTATTACTTGTACATGACATTTGACCTTGACCTTGAGTTTTTTAACATGAAAAACGTAGACCTTTGTGGTTGTGTTGAAGGGGTGAGGTGAGTAAAATAGATAAAGTTACAAAGGTGTAGTACTAAGGCTACTCTTGTTTCATATTTGACTTTCCACCTCATCGCTACTTTACTCTTGTCATCATCACTGTTTTTTTTTTACATTTACTAGTACTTCTTTCTAACGTGTTTATTAATTGAATTTTAAATAGGTCGTATTAAATTTATACAAGTGTTTGATTTCATGTGATTTACCGGTAACTAAGAAACATATTCAATAGAATATATTGGCATTTTTTTATGTTTCTTTTTGAAATAAGAATTGTTGAAGCATATATTTGATGGGGGCGGTGTGAGTTGTTTTTGTATGGTTGCACTGGCGAAATTGATCATTCCTTGCATTGGGCCTGAAATCGACTCAAGAGAGTTGCCCTTAAGGCTTGTTATGTCGTGGTGCATGGGAAGTTTTTGGAGTTGGGTTGGACACATGTAGTTGTGATCCTGTGTTGAGAAGCAAAAAAGGTTTGGAGATAATTTCATCAAATGTTTATCTCATCGTCGAGATGTTTCACATGTTATTTCTCATGTCGTCGTAGGTTTATAGGCTAGGGTGTGACACTTCTACCTATGGTGCTCAAATGCACTCAAGTGTTGTTACATTGTCGATGTATCATATGGACGGTTGATTTTTCACCTTTCTTATACCTTCATTTTAACGTGTTGGTTTGTTTATCTCTTTTATTACATAGGAGTCGTTTTCCATTTCAAACAATTGTATGCTCTCTCTCGTACTTGGCCTTAGCATTCCTATGAGTCATATCTTATTCATCTTCAACATTTTTACGACTCGTGTTCCTTGCTATTTTCCTTTCTTATTAAGGCTTTCACAATGTCAAGCTTTTTATGCTTTAACTACTACCTTCGCTTTATTTTCTTACTTAGGTACCATTCTCTAACCTTTTTTCCTTTCGTTTGTTATTTATCCCCTTTTAGCGTTTATCATGGTTGACTTAGGAGGTCTGCCTAAAATTCTTCAGTATTTTCATTTTATGAGAATCATACATCCCACATGTTGAACCTCCAAATACCAATGGACATAACCCTAGTTTTATTTATTGAGTAGTAATTCTGAGTTTGGAGGAGGTTCCGCTGAAAGCAGAGACAATCATCTTAGCTTTTCTGAAGTGGATGAAGGGGGATCTCTTGTAATGCGACTTATATGGAAATGGTTGCTCGCCTTGCCTCCTCCCTTTAGGCCTACAACGAACTAGACGAGGCCATAATGGCCCGAGATGAGCAAAGAGGCTTCTTTTATGTTGAATCTTTTAGAGAAGCGTATGGTCAAGGGACCTTACTGATATAGAAATTAGCAAACATCTTACCTTTAGAAGTTGCATACAATATCTTATCAATGTTATCTCTTACATGACATTTGAGAATAAAATGGTAAGACGGGGATGCGCAAATTTAGTGTCACCATAAGATGTTAGATTATATACCATTGTGTTGATTCAGAGTTAGTGGGCATAATTTCTATTTTTGACAATGCAAAAAGGGTGGATGAGGATTGGATAGATTTGGAACTCTTATTCCGATTAGTCTATTTCACACATTGATGTCAGCAAGAGGATTTGCGGTTTTTTAAATATGTGTTACGTCGTCTTCTACAAGTGTTTCTTCACATAATTAAGACTCAGGTTACCCTTTAGTGGATTTGAAAAGGAGTTGTTGAATCACTTGGATGTTGCTCCTTTCAACTTCACCTATCTACTTAGGTCTTTGCCAAGGTGTTATAATACTGGTGCGAGTATCGAAAGAATGAGCCATCCATTAATCTCTTCTTCAATTTATTCTTTGTATTCCATACTTCAAGAGATTTTGTCTGTGATCAAGGAATGATTTTTCTCTACCAATCAATTAAAATGTTTGGCGTTTATATGAACAGCAGGAAGACTTTGAAGGACCACTTTATCCTGGTAGCTCTTTTGACTTTGGAAGCTCACTATGTTTTCTATGAGGTACTTGGTGGGGATTCTGCCCCTACTGGTGATTCTGTCTCCTCGTTTTCTAAGTACAAGGGAATATTAATAAGTACTAGACTTGGAACCATTTTAATTAATACTCACTCGGCTATGTCGTCCCTAACGATAAATTATCCTGATAAGATATGGTGGCGAAGGAGGACCAAGTGGCCTTTTGAGAAAACTTAGGTTTTAAGGATGGTGAATGAGATGGAGAAATGGAGTTTACAAAGAAACATAGTCAACTTATCAATACATAGGTCGTCCTAGATGTTACTAATGTTAGGGAGATGAAAGATTTTTTTGGCGAGGAAAGGAAATTTGTTTTATACTCGTTATGGTATTTCTTTGATAATTTCTAATTAATTTCTTCTTTTTGAATAATCGACGGGGTCCATCAAGAGTCTCTACGAGTGGGAGAAAGATAGTGTGGTTGTTGTTATTCCCCAAACTCCTTTGCCTTCTTGCATCCATATTCCAAAAGAGGTGGCAAGCCATCCTTTTGTAACTATGGTTGTTGATAACACTTCCATTATCGTTGTGACTTTGCATATCTCCTAGACGCAACCTTCTGCCTCTAAGCAAAGCGAAAGACAGAGCAAAAGATCAAATTTCTATCAACCTTCTATGACTGATGATAAAAATAATTAAGGCCAATATATGAACTTTGATAAAGAAGATGGGTTAAGTAAAAGGTATAAATCTTATGGCTTCGGCACTACTGGGATTTCTCTCAAAGTTTTCAATGTGGTTCCTCCCAAGTTTCCAATTGTTCTTCTTTCTAGCATGCCTCATACTTTTTAGGAAATGTGAACCTGTTTCACTAAGTAGGATGGTGCTTACATTCATGGCCTTTCTGATAATAGCAAGATGGAGTTGATGGTTAAGATTTCCTACCACATGTTTTGTGGTGTTTCTCTAATAACCATGGAAGCTACTGGTCAGGGAGAAATATTTTTCCCACAAAGTCTACACAAGGAAAATAACCAGTGGAAGAGAATGCGTGAATCAACTATATGTAAGCATAATACTCTTTAGTAAAAGGTGTCAAAGCTTCAAGAGGAATTATGGAAGTCCTATAAGGAAGCATAGGATTGGAAGAAAGCATATGAGAATATGGTTGGCCTTAAAAAGGAGGTAGAAGCCCATGGTGCTCCGTTTGACTTGATAGCTAGGATCATCAACCTATGAGGGACATTATCCGACAAAGAAAAAAGCCTTGAATGAGGCAAAGTCCTCTAAAAAAGAGTTGCCATCCCAATTCAATTCCACTAGAGAGGCCTTAGAATAGGAAAGAGAATCTCGTAGGGAGTAGGTCAAAAGGATGGAAAAGGAGTACGATGACGCCATTAATGATGACATATAAGGTGTTGTTGATACTTTCTAGAGGACCATCGACCAAATTAATATCCTTTACTCGGGAATTGAAATTCGTTAGGAGATGATGGGCTTACACAAGATGGTCGTTGATGGGGAGATCATTAGTGAATATGGGGAGGCGATAGAGGATGGCGAATAGGCAAAGGAGGATGGGGGCCTGAAGGAGAGGCGTGATGTTTTTGTAATCTTTATTTAAACAATATTTTTAGCCACTGAGGCATTTGTACCTTTGTTCGAGTAATTCTTTTAATTACTTAACACTTGGTTAGTTCTTTTCCTACCTTGTTTTTTTAAATTACATTTAGTATCACAACGTTTATTTATTGCTTATCTCTATGTGATTATGTTTCATTGTTTTATTCACCTGCAATTTTGTTCCATCTTTTTATTCACCTGCAATTTTGTTTCATCGCTTTATTCGCCTGCAATTTTGTTTCATCTCTTTGCTCGCCTTCACGGTTCATTGGTCCTTACTCATACCTTATCTTGGGACCAATGTAACCCTTTATGTTAGCGAGAATTGTGCCCTACCAAAGTTTGGGTCCTCTTGTTTTCATCTAGGGTTAGGCTTGGTTTAAATTCAATATATTTTGGGCTTCACCGCCTACGTTATGGAATGATTAGCTACCAAGATAAGGGTGAACTAGCTATGACTTGGTGTACCATGATTCTCTTTGCCTCATACTTTCTTTAATGAAATTTAACAACAATTCCAATAATAAGCATTGTATCATTCATTTGTGAAATTCTGGCAAGCACACGATGGATTTTATCACCAAGGTTATAACATCCATTGTGACACTGACTATTGTACTTAACAATTAAACTGTAAATGAAAGCAATAAATAACACAACAATTGTTCACCCAGTTTAGTGTCAACAACACCTACATCTGGGGGCTACCAAGCCAGGGAGTAAATTCACTATCAGAAAAATTAATTCAAAGTCAAATAACTCAGTTTGCACTCCTCACTTAAAACCTACCCAATGACACTTCAACTTAGAGACACTCTAGACCTGATTATACCCACTCACTCCCCCTCAATCACCTCAGTGATAAACAATTCTCAATTACAAAATAAATATGAAGAAACACTTCATACACACCTTGATCTTGCTTCACAGCTTTGATCAAGAAACACGCATTCTTGCTTAACAGCTTTGAGTGAGACAATGAACACACCTGTTCATACACTCTAACCAAAGCAATTATACAACCTACAATTGCTTGACGCATAAGGACTCCTAATATTCCTAGACACACGTGAAGAACACCTCTTCACTCACAGTTACACCTTTTGAGTATCTCTGCTCGTTGTGTTGTTATTTAAGGTTCATT